GGGGTGAGTTTCACAAAACCGTCGAAGAATTAAGAACGTATTTATTCAGAGAGAGAGCATTCAAAGTCCTTTTTATGTAGTTTTTTGGCTACGACACTTTTGGGAAACTCACCTCCGATTATTGCACGAAACACAGAAAACAGTCTTCTAAGTGCATTATTCTACATCGTGGAATATGTAAAAGACATTGTTCCTGACATATTGTTTATGCAACATAAACACATTGTTTATGTAAAACGTGTGCATGTTTTATAGAAATATTGCATGCAATATGCTTCATTTTATATCTTGCCATTGCCAAAGGAATGCTAAACCACAAACCGACAGTGTCATAATCATGTTGTAATATTCTAGGGACACGTCAGTGGTATAATCATGTTGTAATGTTAAAGTGACTTGTCCGTGTTATAAGCATGTTGTACTATTCCAGTGACTCCTGAGCAAACCAGGCAGCTCATAAAGTTCAGGGCACATAATGAAGAGCAGTTCACCAAAAAAAAAAATGCTGCTAAACAGCTATCGGAGTGAGTAACCCATTTGCCTTGCAGTCTGGATATGTTTAACCATAATCTATCTTATTTAATGACTATTGTTTATTTTACAGGACTTTAACAAAAGATTGATGACGTAAGCGAGTGGTGTCCCGATTCCTAGGTAAAGATTTCAAGCCCTACCCCTTGTGGCTACGATCTGTGAAGTCAACTTCGGAAGGGAGGGCCCTTGAAATCTAATGGTAGGGCTAAGGGAGGAGAAATGGGATTGGGCCTTAGTCTTAGTTTCTGTGGCATCCTTTCTGTTTCCATTGTGGAAGCCGCACATTTCTGATTGCAGCAAAACTAAACTGCTCTAATTTCAGGGATGTAATTAACGTTAACTGGGCCCGTACCGCCGGGGAGCCCAACACGAAATGAATTCCATTTCTGCATTTTATTACTCCCCGCTGCCAAGCCCATCAGAGCCTAACTCAGTTTCCATGATGATAGCGACAAGCGTGAAGCGGTTACTAAATTGTGAGAGGGCAGCACCAACCTGCGCTGAGGAGGACGTTTCGAGCGGTGGGGTGCCATGTGACTATGCCCACCCTTTTGGAGTGACCCTCCAGGACCACCACGGGCTCCGACAGTGAGCTAGTCAGCCCGTTTTCCGGAATCTGCCACACCTGAAGGTAAAAGCACAGGGATTATCTTAGGCCACAGTATAAAAATCAACTGTGCCAAGTGATATTACTATCAAAATATTTTCCCCTAATTTCAAACTAATATTTTGATATTACTATCAAAATATTTTCCCCTAATTTTAATAACAACATGTAGCTATTCTGCTCCAATATTTAAACTGTGGATACCTACCTTTTTTAAATACTGCACTTCACAGACTTGACCAGA